GAAGACAAGATGTGTGGAAAAGATTGATTTCACATGTAAGTATTCGCTGATTACGATCTCCCAAAGCTAAGAAAATTGGAGCTGATTTATAGGTGCACCCCTGATGATTAGCTGTCACAGTGTTTTCAGTTGTTAGCGCAAGATATGCTTTATGTCTCTTCTTTTAGCATAACAGCAACAGTTGCCAGTATTGGAGCAGCAGGAGTCCCCAATGCTGGGCTTGTCACCATGGTGATAGTCTTAACGGCTGTTGGACTACCTGCCAGTGATGTTACACTGATAGTTGCTGTGGACTGGCTTCTGTAAGTTTTATTTTGTCATCCCATATTATTAAATCAAGTCAATGTATTTACAATTTATTGTGTTCTGTTAAGCCTGCATCAAACAATGGATTCTTTGGGATCTGCATCAGACTGATGTAAGAAATCAGTCCGTAAATAGCTAGGACAGAACATGAACAGACACAAGCACAAAATAAAGTTCTAGAATGCACAATTCAATGTAATCTTTATATTTTAACATCTTGAGAAAGTTGTGTTTGATGTTTCTGCTAAAGGCCTTTATGAGGACCCTCACTGGACATGTGGTCCAGTCACAAACACAAACTGATACTGAAAGAAGTGAAGGCTCACAGCAGAATTGTAAACCTGATGGGTCTTGTGTAATCATGAAGGACGATTGTTAAAGAATCTACTGTAACGTGTCTGACAGACTCATTCATCAATGATAGAACATACAAGTCACATCAAGTCAGTGACAGTATAGGCCACAACCTGATAATTGATACTGTCATGTGTCAATGTTCATAACTATGTTTGCCCTGTTGTGAACACTGGTCACTTGTGAAAGAGAATTCTAACCAAAATTAGCAGCAACACATTTCATGCTCAAAGTTCACAAGGCAGAGTAGTCCAAGTACATAGGACATTCCAGCTACTTCTCCTTAATGCTTATGAGTCCTTAAAGCTGGCTTCCTTCACGAACACACCTGAATCAAATGGAAGTCTTATTTCCAGGTCTCTGCAGAGCTGAAGAACTGAATGCTAAGAAGTTAATTGTGCTAACCCTAAAGCACTAATCATAAATATTAGTTCTAACACAAAAGCCTTACACCAATATAATGATTAGTGGAAGCTATAGTGCTAAAACACTAACTTTAAGTCAGATTTTCTCTGAAAGACTACAACCCTCAAGAACTAATTAAATTTTGATATTATATTTTCTATTATGTCCTTAGAATTTATATTTATATTTATATCCCATTCTGCACTGTCCATATTTCATTTTGTTCCTGTAGGCTATTTCTTGTTTGAAATCTCTTTATTGAGGAAAAAGAGAGAATGCATAAGCAAGCATGTAAACCCCAAAATACCTGGAGACTAACTCGATCTGGTGTGTTTCAGGGACCGCTTCCGTACAATGATCAATGTTCTGGGTGATGCTTATGGAGCCGGGATTGTTCAGAAACTATCCAAGAGGGAGTTGGAAAGGATGGATCTGATTTCAGACGTGGATGTTGCTAACCCGTTCGCCCTGGAAACAACTCTAGATGACGAGGAATGTGAGAAAAAATCTTACGTCAATGGAGGCTTCACTGTCGATAAGACAGATGCAATTTCCTTCACAGAAACCTCCCAGTTTTAGCTTCCAGGTGGATCACAGGAGAGAGAAATGCCACACATACAGGAAGGATGCAACCAGCCCATCCGAGTTCAAGCATCAGCAACAGCGGCCTTCGTTAAGCTTAGATGAACATGATCACCTGCCATTTTAAATATTGATAACCACTAGATTCAAGTGCTTCCTTAATAATCTAAATCTGTGCCAAGATTTTGAAAAGCCACATTTCTTTAGATAAGACTGAAAAGCTTTTTGCAAAGAGCACTTTGTCACTATGTCCTCCTTATGATATATCCCTTAAGTAGGGATGTGGTGTTTGTGAGTCTGTAATAAAAAATGCATAATTTACTCCTTGACTAGGCAAGAAGACTCTAAATATCCCATAATTCACTGCTTGTGTAATAATTAGGGATGCTCCGATCAGGTTTTTTGTTGCCGATTCCTATACCGATCATCCATGAGGCTGATCTCTGCCGATCACCTGTTAATATTTTGCTTTATGTGTAAATGATATTGGGTTATCTGGCAAAATGGAAAAAATTATCTGGCAATAAATTCACCTAATTTAGAAATAATAGACATATTTTCATACATATCTAAAACCTGTTTTTAAAAGTTACATGCTGCAGCTGTAAACAGACGTTCGGTGTGAGAGACTTCACTGTCTTGTGGAGGTTGAGCGGCGTTACGTCTGTGAAATATGACTACCAGCAGCGAATAGTGGTGGTCCAAGAGCTAGAGCAGATCTGGCAGTTTTAGACTGCCAGCTCGAAGACTTGAATTATTTTTCGGGTTATTTATTTAGCTTTCTGACCTTGAAGCTAATCCAGGTGAGTGTTGGTAGTTGTGCGCTGCTTTACCTGCTATCTGGCCGCTTCGGATGTCAATGTAGCCAAACTCCATCAAGTGTTTGTTTTTTAAATGTCATATTACATTTACTGTGTTGATGCATTTTGACGTGCTTCAGTCCCGAGGTAATTTTCCGCCGCAACACACAATCGTCTCCATTCACTCTCAGAGCGTTATGGTTCCACTCGACAGAATCTGTTGCCAAGTGCTTGCACAGTTGCACGTTCACACTGTGCTTGCGCTGATCACAGGTGAGGCAGGCTGCCTGCGAAGTCTGCCTCACTTGTGAAATGAGGTAAATATGATCGGTTTTGGTGATCAGCAACAAGAGACAGTGATCGGCAATCTCCGATTGGCAATCACCGATTGCCGATCACTTTTTCACGGAAATCGGACGATTATGATCAGTGACCGATCGATCAGCACACCTCTGTGCCAAATGTATGACAAGTTTTTATTTTGCCAAGTTGCATGAAGCAATATGCTATGATTACTTATCTGTGGCTGCAGACCAACTGTTAGTGAGAACTTTTTAAAGACTGGTGGATGCATATTGAAAATTGATGGCTGATATTAATGAACAATGTGAAATTCCACTTTCCACTAAGACAGCTGTTAATGATGTATTGCCAAATAAGAAAAAATATAAAACTGTCCCCTACCCATTGGTGTTTTTGTTGCTGCCAGACATCGGAGCCTGTTTGTGTTTGTTTGGCCTTCATTATGAATTGATGATTTTTTTTTTTTTGTAATTTATAAAATTTCTGTCAATAAAGACAGTTTTATGTCTTTAATAGACTAAAAGGTAGACCAGTACAATAAACTGCTGAACATATAGCTCTACATGGGAAGGAGATGTCATTGTGACAGACTGGTTAACTGGTTGACACTGTGACTCACTGCCACTCTACTAAAGATAAGGTGATGCTATAGAAAAATTAATATTGCCGCACAGTTGGAGTAGCAGCACCAGAAGAAATTCTTCTTCTGACTGACTGCACCTCCCCAGCAACTTTTTTGACCATACTTTCCAATTATGTCACCAGACTTTACAAAAACACAGTTATGTGCCAATTTCGGCATTTTAAAGAGTAGAATTACACTAAATAATATAATTACAAAATAAAAATTTTCCCTGTCAGAAAAACCATCTGGAACAAACAAGGCATCCTGCAAAATAAAAGGACTCTTTACTGGTCAACATAGACTGCCATTTAGAGAACATGTATGATAGAGAAACTACGGAAGCGCATTGCTATCACGCAGGAAAAAAAAATTTCGAGCGCTATCTTCTTAAAGGCAAAGAAAGGGTTACACTGCTCAGACCATGGCCTGCATATGGACAAATGTCTTTCAGTTCTTACAAGCAAATGTAACATCCACGATGAAGCAAGCTGAACAAACAAATTTTGAAAATTATCAGGAAGGAGCTGCTTTCTGTGAGTCTTTTCATATGGATATAGAATCAAGATCTGGCAAATATGTGAAGACTTTTACATTTTCTTCACACATTTGACATCCACTGCAAAGTGGGTAGGCCAACAATATCATTTTAGGGTCACTCTTGGACAATATCAAGGCTTAATCTTTCTTTGTAAGCAGTGTGATCCAACTAAGCAGAAAGGCGGAGGCAAAACTCCTCTCCAACAGACCTTAATGTTCCTCATACAGCTAATGTTTACTGCTTCACTGTTGGAACTATCAGCTATTTTTGTAATATGTTGCAGTAGCTCACATTAAGTGTCACTGCCACAGACCCAATTTGCTTTTAATGGCCTGTGGTTGATTTACCTGAGGACTTCACAATGTTAGCTTGATAGATCATGAAACTAAGCCCATAATACTGCCTGTGGGCCCAGAGTTCACGTAAAGACGACCTTACTTCAAAATGAAACATTATTTCCATGTTCCCATTGATCAAAACCACAACTCATACAATATATATGTTATTTATAATGCATGTAAACAATTGCAGAAATTAAAGAGTTCATCAAGGAGGAAGTAGTCGTCTATCCTAGAAAAGGATCAAGGACAGGCAAAAAGTTGAATGTCAAAGTAAATTCATGACAAATCTGCTAACCTTGATGTAGCAATGTTCCAGTCCAATCCCAATGATCTTTTCATGGTACCATTCAACTCGTGTTATTGACTTGTAGTTCAGAGCTTGTTTATACTCGCCTCTCAGTCCAATCTTATGTCCAGTGATGAGAAGTACAGTTACAGTACAGTAACAAAGTACAAGTACAAGTACTTTGTTACTGTACTTAACCCTGGTGGTCTATCAGATCCTGCCTGGTTGGCATAACATGGCCTGCTGGCATGCTGTTATGCTCGTGTGGAAGTATCGCTATGAGTTGTTATGCTTCTCCATTTTGCACGCAGTATTTATTTATAACCAGGGGTGAAAATAAGGGGGTAGGGTACTACGTACCCCTAAAAGATTTAGCGGGGGTACCCAGTACCTGCAAGAAATGGGAGTGGCTCTCTGCTGTAAAAAATCTACGGGTTCACTGTGCAGCCGTGAGTTCACCCACTAATCAGCCGTGACTGATTAGTTTTTCAAGAACAATCTGAAACATACGGTGGCCCTGAGGTGCAAAACACTACAACATTAACGAAGCACAATTACAAATTACAAAATCACTACAACATTAACAAAAACACAACAGCATTAACAAAAACACAACAACATTAACGAAAACACAACAGATATATACAAATAGGGCAAAAGGTGCTTATATAAGGTCCAGTGCCAGGTGGATTGAAGAAGGAGAAAAAAATAGTGCCTTCTTTTGTAACTTAGAAAAACGTAGACAGGAATATATCGCAATTAATAGCCTTATGATTGATGGAGTCGAATGCTCTGAGACTAAGAGAATAACACAGGAAGTATTTAATTTCTATAACAATCTTTATAAATCTTCACATACAGAACAAATTACTTCATCATTTTTTGATAAAGTAAGAAATCTGATTCCTGTTATTGATGAAAATTTTAAGGAAATCTGTGATGAAGAGCTAAGAATCTCCTAATTTGATATTACTATAAGAAATATGGCGTCTGACCGCGCCCCCGGGCCAGACAGACTTACAGCTAACTTTTATAAACATTTCTGGGAGGATTTAAAACCTCCCAGAAAGGATTTAAAACCTTTCTGGGAGGAAAGGATCAGCCTACCAGATTCAAAGTAGGCTGTAGCAGAATGTGTTGGAAGGAAGGAACTCATGGAAACTATAAAACAAGGCGTAATTAAGCTAATCCCAAAACCTGGTAAAGATAAGAAAAATTTTAATAATTTAAGGCCCATCACTTTGTTGAACACAGACTACAAGATCCTAACAAAGGTTCTGGTAACGAGGTTAAAAATGGGCTTACCCGGAATAATTAGTCAAACTCAATCCGGTTTTCTCAAAGGTAGATCCATCCATAACAACATTCGCCTGGTTCTGGACCTGATTGATTATAATCATTTAAGAAAAGATGATGGTTTTATGTTGTTCTTAGATTTCCACAAAGCATTTGATTCTGTGGAACATCAATTTATTGTTAACACTTTGAAACATTTTGGTTTTGGTAACAGTTTTCTTAGTATGATCACCATGTTAAACACCAACATTAACAGCTGTGTGTCTCTGTTTCAGGGCACATGCTCCAGATTCAAAGTAGAAAGAGGAATCAGACAAGGTTGCAGTATTTTGCCTCTATTATTTATTATAGTCATGGAATTACTAGCAATAACAATTAATAACTAATATAGAAGGTTTGGAAATTAATAACCAGAAAATAATCATTAGCCAATTTGCAGATGATACAACCCTCTTCCTAAAAAATAAAGAACAAATTCCTTGAGCTCTAAGGGAAATAGAGTTGTTCTCTCAAGCCTTAGGGCTGCAGCTAAATATAAATAAATGTGAAATTATGAGTATCCATAACTGTTCTGATTCTTCAATTTCCGATATTCCAGTTAAAAATGAAATTAAATATTTAGGAATATGGATTACTAAATGTCAAGCTACTAGCATAAGAAAAAATTTACAAGACAACATTGATAAATGTGGCAGAACCTTAAATAATTGACTTCAGAGAGATTTGATATTGTTTGGTAGAACATTATTAACAAAAACTGAATCCTTATCCAGGCTGACATATCCTGCATATTCCTTAGCCGTCCCTCCAAATCTCATAAAACAGATTAACAGAATAAACTTTAACTTCATTTGGAAAAACAAACACCATTACATCAGAAAAAGTGACTTGTTAAAAAATTATGAGGAAGGTGGTATTAAGCCAATCGATTTTGAAATTATGAATGGCACTTTAAAAATTAGATGGCTTCAGTCCCTTTTAAAATACGGTGATCTTATTTGGTTTGTTGTTCCATCGTTCGTATTTCTGGAAGTTGGAGGTATTGAGTTGTTATTGAAATGTAATTTTGAATTATCTAAACTCCCCCTAAAACTCTGCTTTCCATCAACAAGTTTTGTTAAAGTGGAAGTTGATGTTTAAACACAACTTTAGCCCCCATAATGTCCCACTGTGGAACAATAGAGCCATTCTATGTGGTAGAAAATCTATATTCATGAATGACTGGTGGAATAAACAGATCTGGTCAGTTACTCATTTATTGGATGGAAATGGTGAAATTCTCAGTTTGGAGGAATTTAACAGAAAATATGGAACTGACTGTTCACTAACAAATTATAAGAAAGTATTACGTAGCATCCCTGTTGTCCTTTTTTTGTCAGTTAAGAACAATTTATTTAATTTCTCTATTCCAAGACTCCACAAGATTCGATTTGAGTATGTGGACATTAGAGATAATAAAAGCAAGAACAAAAAGCACAGCTCTCTTACAAAATTTTAACAAATCTATGAGAGTCAAAATAAGGACAAATTATTTGAAATTTCCAATTCCTCCCAAACATAAAGAACTACATTTTAAAATTATAAATAACATATATCCTTCAAATGAGTTCTTAAAAGAGAGATTTAATTTTAATGTAGAGAATTGTGGTTTTTGTACAACTCATTTGGAAACAACTAAACATTTGTTTTATGAATGTAAAGAAGTATCAAACTTATGGGATCAACTTCGTAACTTTCTGTCTTCTAAGAAAATAAATTTGGATTTTGTTTCCTTACATAGCATTCAATTCGGTTTATCCACTAAAAAAAAAATCTGGAATTTTTAGTCAATGTTCTGATTATTGTAACAAAATATTATATCCATAAATGTCGTTATGCAAAATGCTCCCTCTCAATTAATGCTCTTAAAAATGAATTTTCTTCCTTTAAGAGTTGTCTAAAAAAGATGCAGAATTTAAATGCAGTCAAATTGTATGAGTCAATGAAAGATTTCTAGTTTGTAGCCCCTAACATATCTTATTTTTTTAATCCTTTTATTTCATCATTTAATTACCTTCCTTTCATTTTTTCTGTTAATTTAGTTATCTTTAATA